GGAAAAAGGTTTCTGAGGAAGAATGAGATAAGGGCTGAGTATCCCTTAACAGAAATACTTGGGACCAGAAGTGTTTTAGATTTTCTGGGATTTTGGAATGCCTGTGTTTCTCTATACAAACATATAGAAACACCCAAGTTAAAACATAAAATTAGTTTATGTTTCATACTTACAGATACATAGCTCGATGGCAATTTTATACAATATATTTAGCAATTTTGTTCCAGAAACTAAGTTTGAGTAAACCGAAGTATCATTATTTGATTAAACCGAAGTATCAGTATTTCTGGCACACGTGTGGACAGTTTTGGATTTTAGAGTGACTAATAATGAATGCTCAATCCATATACAGCAGGGAAACATGTACTTTGTGGAAATCCTGGGCTTTATAAGCTTTACTTGAAAGGTATATACTGGATAATCTGACCAATACCTATTGGTTTTTGATTTTCAGCCAAAATAAATTCTAAGTGTTTTAGGCAAAGTGCTTTGCTTTTAAAGTCATATAGATCTTGGAGCCTGGACACGTTTAGAAAACGTGTCTACATAGCAGAGGAGTGGAATGATCAGCCTTTGGCAATTCTGGTTACAATGGTTGAATATTGCAACCCAACAACATATGGAAAACTGTGTGCTTCCTTTATCCAACTTAGGTCCTATCTATGATTGCCCAGACCTAATTGACCATCTGCTTAAACTCAGCACTTTACCTCCAGCCCTGGCCCTGTAATCTGTTTTTGCACAAGCCCATGCCCAGCATTCACCCTCATAATTTTGATATGCCCATTATATTCCTGGTTCTGGTTACTGAGGTTATCTTTGATTTATTTTATGATGTTTTTCTACTTTACTGATTCAATTGTTGAATTAGATTGTTATATGTCTATTGCATTTTTAAATGTGTTTTTACTTCGTTAACTCTGTTATTATTGGGCTTGATCCCGCTTATAAGCCACCTCAAGTCCCTTTGGTGGTGGGATATAAAAATAAATTAATTATTATACTATAACTTGTTCTGTCAACATTAAATTTCTTCTAATTATAAGAACTACAATGATATTCCTTCTTCTTCCAAAAGATGATATGCAATTAATACCGAAGAGACACTCTAATAGTTAGTTTTTGTTTTTCAAAAGTGGGTTCTACACTTGCTTCTGTGTTGCAGTAGACATCACGGTTTGATTTGAGATGAGTAAATCATCCAATAATTTGCAAATGGGGTGCAGGTGATGCAATAAGAGTGAAAGATAACAGATTGACTCATGCCATCAACAGTGTTTGGTTGGGATATAATTGGAAGTGAAGGTATCTCAGCATAGATTGCATCACCTTTTGAATTTTAATATCATTGTGAATGTAAAGTCCCTTTTTTAAACAATTTTTTGTCTTTGCTATTTTGGAAGCCAGACAAAAACAAATAATTTTTCCTAGTTCCTTACTTTTTCCCCTTTATTTATTTACTGTATTTATATCCTTGCCTTTCTCATCCCAAAGGGGACTCGGGGCGACTCACAACAAATTCGATGCCAGGAATACATATATAATATCAAACAACATATACTTTAAAATCACATAATTAAAACATATAAAACTTAAAACAATTACTCAAAATCATACAATCCAAAAGCATATTCTAGGAGCCATTCCGGTTGTCACTTGCATTATTCATTATTGCACTTAGAGATCATTACTGCACTGAGAATCATTGTCCAAAGGCTTGGTCCCACACCATGTCTTCACTTTCTTCCTGAAGGTCAGGAGGGAAGAGGCTGATCTAATTTCCCTGAGGACTGAGTTCCATAGCTGAGAGGCTATCACTAAGAAGGCCCTGTCTCTCGTCCCCACCAGTTGCACCTGCGAGGGGGGTGGAATCGAGAGCAGGGCCTCCTTGGACTATCTTAACCTCCAAGATGGTTCATAGAGGGAGATGCATTTGGTCAGGTAAGATGGCCGGAACCATTTGGGGCAGTGGTTCTCAACCTGTGGGTCTCCAGGTGTTTTGGCCTTCAACTCCCAGAAATCCTAACAGCTGGTAAACTGGCTGGGATTTCTGGGTGTTGTAGGCCAAAACACCTGGGGACCCACATGCTGAGAACCACTGGTTTAGGGCTTTATGGGCTAAAGCCAGCACTTTGAAGTCTCTAAATCTTATCCTTTAACAACCCTGATAATACAGTGTGTAAATTTTACACAATAGTAACACATGTCAGCAAACTACAACCACATCATCTCCTAGCATTCACCAGTTTTTGGGTAATATTTAAAATGAGCTTTGTGTATTAAAATAGGTGCATCTGTTTAAAAGGCTATTCTGTTGAATGAAAGAATGCATATAACACTGGGAATTTGGAAACCTGCCATTTCATTAAAATGAACAACCAAGAAAATAGACAACATCCTCCTAACACAGACCTGCCCTTTGGATTGAAAATCAGAACATGGTGTGACCTCAATGCAAACTTGTGATTAGTGACACAGTGCTGACTCAGAGCTTCATTTGCATTCAGCATCTTCCCCGTTATAAATTATATAACTTTTAAAAATGGATTTCAGTCCAACTTCACAGGCTTGCAGCTGCTGCCACTCACAGATCTTTTCTAGGTTTGTTCTGGGAAAATATCCCTTTGAGCATCACAATAAGCCGAAAATACTAAGAGTGTTTCTGTTCAGAGCATGCTGAGGGTGATGCTGAGCATCCAAAGAGCCGCCTGCTGATGGAGAGGCACGAGGGTTGTCATTTAATACACCAATTTTGTGCTCGCGGAGGCACGGCCCACTCCAGGCCGATGCTGTCGGACCAAGGAGGATGCACAATGTCCCTATACTCGAGTATTTCTGTATTCCCCATACGCTGGATGTGGTTATATAAGGAGCCAACCCTATGTTTTGAAATGTCACTCCCCAGGAGAGCTTTTTCAAAACCCGACAGGCTGGGTTTACCCACATAACGCCTCGGGAAGACAGGCGCTTAGCAAACCTTTGGCAGGTTGACAGCTTTGGGGATCAGAAGCCGAGCGTGATGGGCAAATCCACACACACACACACACACACACACACAGAGGAGGAGGAGGAATGCTGCCAACATATGCCTAGGAAACCAAGCATAGCTCCTTTTAACCCACCGGGATGGGTCCATCCCAGTTGCCCCAGCTTTAGAAGGGCGAAATGGAAGGAAGGCCCTCCTGAGGCACCTTTTTGGAGGCCCAACAAGATGGTGATGACATTTGTTTACGTCGTGCTTTTTCTCTCCTAAGAGAGACCCCAAGATCCCTTGCTACAGACAGACAGAGGAGGAAGTATGCTGCCAATACATGCCTAATATTTAGACCAGACATGGGCCAACTTTGGCCCTCCCTCCAGGTGTTTTGGACTTCAACTCCCACCATTCCTAGCAGTCGCAGGCCCTTTTCTTTTCTCCCTCGGCAGAGAACACACCTGCTCCCTCTTTCTTATGACAGCCCTTCACATATGCATGTATTTTTTCTGCTGCTCCAGAAACCAGGATACAATGGAGCAATGGATCCAAATTGCAAGATTGCACCTAAACATTTAAAAGAATGTCCTGACAGTAAGAGCCATTAATTGGTGGAATTGGCTAATTCAGAATCCAGTGGAGTCTCCTTTTCTGGACATTTGTGAACAGATACTAATGGTTATCTGTCAGGAGGGTTTTGATTGTTTCTTTGCAGAAGGGAGTTGGACTAGATTGCATTAGGGATTCCTTTCCAACTCTACTATGATTCTATATATGGGGTGCCTTTCCCGCAGAGAAGCAAAAGCCGGATCCCAAATGGCCAAAGCATCCCTGGGAGGCCTCTCTTTCCTTTTGAGCTCTGCTTTTCCCCCTTCTTCTCCCTTGAAAGCTCTGCTTAAGCAGTTGAGGGTGGAAAAGGAAGGGGCCTGAGGCTGTTAGGAATGGTGGGAGTTGCAAGGAAAGAGAATCCCCTTAGACCAGGCATGGGTCAGCTTGGGCCCTCCCTCCAGGTGTTTTGATTGAAGTGCCTATCTACACCAGGCTTGAGCCAACTTGGGCCTTCTAGGTGTTTTGTCCAAATCACCTAGAAGGCCCAAGTTGGCCCATGCCTAGCGTAGGTAGTCAGCTCATTCAAAACACCTGGAGGGCGGGCCCAAGTTGACCCACGCCTGATCGAAGTGGCTCCTCTTTCCTTGCAACCTGAATCCCTGTCTCCTTGGTGTCCTGCTCTGCAGGCTAGCTCTTCTCCCCTCTTCTCTTCTCAGTGTGACGTCCTTTCAAACCCACATCCTGCCCATTCCTTCCCTCTTCTCTCTAAGCGAGGCTTTGGAGGAGGAAGAAGCATCCATCCATCCATCCATCCATCCATCCATCCATCCATCCTTCCTTCCTTCCTCCCTCTGTGCGCAGCATCCTTCCCAAAAGCAAGAGGAAAAGCAAGGCAACGAGGCGGAAAAGGCACACTCACCGCAGGAAGAAGAGGAAGGGAATCGGGGCCAAGGGATGGGGGATCTCTTTCTCCCCGCAGATGGAGGAGGAGGAGAAGGAGCTCTGCTTGCTTTCCTTCCTCGGCGGCGTCCAAGCGGGCAAACTTCTCCTCCCTTGGCTCTCTCTCTCTCTCCTCCGCCTGACTCTCTGCTTCCTCTGGTGAGCTGCTTGCTTGCTTGCCACGCGCGTTCCCGAGTCCTGTCGGGAGCGAGCCTGGCGCGAGGAAGGAGGGTTGTATGTGTGTGTGTGCGCGCGCTGTCACTCTCTTTCTCTCCGGGCTCATTGGGCACGCGCGCGTGGAAAGGCGCTGCTGCTTCTTCTGCTGCTGCTGCTCCTCCTCCTTTGGCGAGGAGTGGGCAGCACGTGGGCGCTGGTCGAGCCCCCTCCCAAGCCCCAGCCTGCTTCTCCCTCCCTTCCCTTCCCTTCCCTTCCTTGCTCTCTTCCCACGCTCTCCTGGGGCGCTCGCTGCTTGGGCCGGAGCTGCATCAGGTATTTGGAGGGAGGGAGGGAGGGAGGGAGGGAGAGGAGAGGTGTTGCTTCCTTCCTTCCTTCAGATGCTCAGGGATGAGGGGCTGCCGAGGGAGGAGGAGGAGGGGGTCCTCTGCACCGCCTGCCTTCGCCACCAGCTTTTGTTCCCCCTTTGCGGCAGAGAAGAGAGGCGTCCAGCTCTGTGGCCAAAGACCCTCGCATTCCCATTCCAGCCAGGTGTGAAATCCATCCATTTTTTTTTTTACCTTGGATGGAGAAGGTGAGCCGCCTCTGCTGGCTTCTGGGGTGTGTTGTTCGTGCCTCTCGCTTGGCTTCTCTTGCAAGGTTGCTTGCTTGCTGCCATTCTTAGGGCGGATTTAATTAAATAAAAGTGCAGCCTTGGAGATGGTGGCTCCCTTTAGAGAGAATGGTTTTTCTGCAGAGGGTCCGGGGAAGAGGAAGCAAGCAGGTAATGTTGGCCCTTGAGAAAATCTATCAAGTCCCCATCGCCGAAATGCTGCAATGATTTGCACACTGTTTTGGGGGGTACAGTAATATTCTGATTGATCCCAAGGCTGGATCTACATTGCCAAATAATGCAGCTCTAGCTGCATCATAGTCATTATAGTCACTACATTGCCATCTAATGCAGTTCTGTTTAGTTTCACACTGTATTATATGAGTCTGCACCACTGGTTCTCAACCTGTGGGCCGTGGCCCAGCAGAAAGAAAATCCAGTTTGTGAACCTCCTTCCTCTCTTTATTTTATTTATTTCTGCTCCTTTCCACAGAGCTAGTAGCCAGCCCTGCTCCTTTGGGTACTCATGTTGGAGAATGGTCAAAGTGGTCCCTGGTCAAGTGGTCCCTGGTAAAAAAAAAAAAGTTGGGAACTACTGGTCTGCACCAGTTGTTCCCAACCTTGTTTTGACCAGGGGCCACTTGAAAGGGACTAATTTAAAGACTGAGACTGATATTTAGAATATAACTTCTATAGTTTGCTGTATACATTGCATGTACAAGGAGGGGAGGGTGGGGCTGGGATAAAATAGTCTATATAAATTAAAATGTAATGTTCGTTTGTGGAATTAACAGAATTCAAAAACCACTGGATGAATTGACACCAAATTTGGACACAATACACATATCAGGCCAACGAGTGACCATCACTCATAAAACACTGAAAAACACAGCAAAGAGAGTGTATGCATTGGGTACAACTGCAAAGCCTGTATCCAATGTATATGAATATGAAAGGGGCTACAAAATTTGTTGAAACCTACCTAGGGAACCTGTTTATTGGGACATGAGGTTTTGTAGGCAGCATCCTGCATCCTAATGTGTCCAATGAACACCTGTGTCTATCTACTGTGATAATTCAAACCCCCTGAATTGGGTTTTTTATATATCAATCAGCGGGTTAAACCACTGAGCTGCTGAACTTGCTGACCAAGTTCAAATCCGGGGAGCGGGACAAGCTCCCACTGTTAGCCCCAGCTTCTGCCAACCTAGCAGTTTGAAACCATGCAAATTTGAGTAATTCAATAGGTACCGCTTCAGCAGGAAGGTAATGGTGCTCCATTCAGTCATGCCAGCCACATGATCTTGGAGGCATCTACGGACAATGCTGTAGATGCCTCATTTCCATTCTTAGAAATGGGAATGAGCACCATCCCCCAGAGTAGGAAACAATTAGACTTCATGTCAGGGGAAACCTTTACACACACATATATATATGTGAGCCCCCAGTGGCGCAGTGGGTTAAAGTGCTGAGCTGCTGAGCTTGTTGACCGAAAGATTGCAGGTTTGAATCTGGGGAGCAGCGTGAGCTCCCGCTGTCAGCCCAGCTTCTGCCAACCTAGCAATTTGAAAACATACAAATGTGAGTAGATCAATAGGTACCACTCCAGCGGGGAGTTAACGGCGCTCCATGCAGTCATGCCGGCCACATAACCTTGGAGATGTCTATGGACAACGCTGGCTCTTCGGCTTAGAAATGGAGATGAGCACCAACCCCCAGAGTCAGACACAACTGGACTTAATATCAGGAGAAAACCTTACCATATATATATCTATATATGTGTGTGTGGGGAGGGGTGCTCCTAATACAAACGTTATCTAATTGTGATTTATTGTAGCAAAAAATAAAAACCTGTTGTGCATATTACCTCTCACTATCAAATTAAAAAATAAAGGTGCAATATGGCTCTGCAACCCATGCAGAATACTTCTTTGGGAATCGCCTTTTGTCCTACTCCCTATTTCAGGAGAAAGGCAGTATGAAAGTAAAGTAAATAAGCAATAATTTACTGTATGATGTTTCCAGTGAATATCTGTAATAGAATAACAATCTAATGGCTCTGATGTGAAAGAAATCCGTTTTTAAAAAAATCTGATCCAATGCATACTTTTTTGAGAAAGTATGCATTGGATAGTGCTGCAAAGTCATATCCAATGAGGTCCCTTTCTCCCAAGCTTTCATTATAAAGGGAAGGAGGATGACTGTTTAGTACAGGCATGAGCAAACTTGATCCTTCCAGGTGTTTTGGACTTCCACAATTCCTAGCAGCCTCAGGCCCCTTCCTTTTCCCCCTCAGCCACTTAAGCGGCTGAGGGGGAAAAGGAAAGGTCTTGAGGCTGTTAGGAATTGTGGGAGTTGAAGTCCAAATCACCTGAGAGTCAAAGTTTGCCCATACACCTGATATTGTATAAGGTTCCCTTTCTTATCTACTAATACAGTTCCCACTCTCTCTTTTGGGAATGAGTTTAATTGCTGATTTTGTAACATCTGGCCAGATGTTTACACTGGGCTTCTTTCCTCCACTCACAAATGTGTATGAGTCCTATCTATGGAGAGTTCTGGAGAACTCAAAGGCTAGCACACTATTATGGCATTTTGCTTGATGAACCCAGCAAAGCTCTTTCTCAATGTGGATTATGTTTTTTTTATTTTTTTCCATAGACCAATATGGCTGTTTTTGTTTATGTAATAAAAGGGTTAGTAGAGCGTTAGAAAGAGTGCAGCAAAATCATTGACCAGTAATATATATATTGAAGTGATTTGGTTGAAATGTTCTCATTAAACATCCTGACAGGTTTAAAGGACACTGGGGAGGCCTATAAAGCAATTATTCTTTTAGCAGTCAAAGTGGTTGTGTGTATATTAGTATAAATATTGCATAGTGGGTGAAAGCAAAAGAGGGATTTGTCTTGGTGCACACGTGTGTAATTCACTTCCCTCTTTGTCTGTGTCTTTGCTGTGTTTCGATGTTACTTACACAAATATATCTCATTAATCTGAGGGCAAACCTTATTCACACAAGGTATTCCTATGCTGATTTAGGCTTGCTAAATCCTTTCTTTTTATTGAGTGAAAGCCTGTGTAATGCTTCTTAGGACGTGGCAGTAAATTGCCGCATGATGTGCATCTGAGACATGAATGACTGATACAGACATCCTACAGGAGAATTTATAGATATTTAGAGAGTCCCTCGAGTTTGTCGCTTAATTAAAATTTCATTTCTAACAAGAGGCATAAATAATGCAAGTTGTTTGCTGTCCGTAAGCTGCTGTTAGTATCTTCAGCAGTGCCTGTGTTCCCAATCCATATTGGTATAGTAGCGGTTGAAGATAGCACTATCTAGCTTGCTTCTAATGTCACATGCGGTGCATAAATTCTTAGTTAGATCATTAAGGTCAGCAGGACAACAGCAGCAGAGTAGTAATCCGTTTACAAGTTAATTGCATGGCTAATTACTGATTAGGTCTGTGGTTTACTAGTTAATTGAGCAACCAGAATGTTGCATGTGCAGAAAGAATGTGTATGGCTGCCGTCCTGCACCCAACTAAGAATATTTATTTTATTTATTTATTGTATCAGGAGCGAACCAAGGGTACAGTTGTAATGTATTTAAAAAGCATAAAGTTTAAAAACTTGGCATTATATTAAATGTCCTTTGAACAGTAGCTGGTTACTTGGAGTGCCTCTGGTGTTCATAGAATCATAGAATCATAGAGTTAGAAGAGACCTCATGGGCCATCCAGTCCAACCCCCTGCCAAGAAGCAGGAATATTGCATTCAAATCACCCCTGACAGATGGCCATCCAGCTTCTGTTTTAAAGCTTCCAAAGAAGGAGCCTCCACCACGCTCCAGGGCAGAGAGTTCCACTGCTGAACAGCTCTCACAGTCAGGAAGTTCTTCCTCATGTTCAGATGGAATCTCCTTTCTTGTAGTTTGAAGCCATTGTTCCTTGTCCTTATCTCCATGGAAGCAGTAAACAAGCTTGCTCCCTCCTCCCTGTGGCTTCCTCTCACATATTTATACATGGCTATCATATCTCATCTCAGCCTTCTCTTCTTCAGGCTAAACATGCCCAGCTCCTTAAGCCGCTCCTCATAGGGCTTGTTCTCCAGACCCTTGATCATTTTCATCGCCCTCCCCTGGACACATTGTGTTGCTATAAGAAGGTCCTTGATTATATATGGCTCAGACTGCATTGTAATAGGTGGTCTGTGGTTTGTTCTTCTCCACACACTTCTTCATAGCTCTGTCAGTAGCTTATGACACTGTAAATCATCACCTTCTCCTTAGAAAAACTTATAATATCACAAAGGACTACCACCTCACGCGCTTCATAGGAAATCTGCTACAAAACAGGAGCTTTTTTGTTGAAATCCATGGTCGGAGAAGCAGATGGCGAAAACAGAAGAACGGTCTGCCTCAGGGAAGCGTTCTTGCTCTAGCAATGTTTAACAATTGCACAAATGATCAGCCACTGCCAGAAGAGACAGAGAGTTTCATCTATGCTGACGATCGTGCCATCACTGCCCAAGCAGGGAGCTTTGACATGGTTGAACAGAAGCCCAACTGAGAATATGTCCCATTGTGTCATGGAACTGGAAGGGACCACAAGGGCCATCCAGTCTAACCCACTGTTATGCAGGAATGCACATACAAAGCACTTCAGACAGATGGGCATTGAACCTAATGGGGCTCACTATTGGTTAGATGCGTACAGGATTGCACTTGCTTACTGCATTAAGTCATTTTAAATTGCTGTTAGGTTTATCTAATCTTTATTTTGACTGAGAAAATTAACTTGAAAACATTGATCAACACAGTTTTGGTGCCTCAAATGGTAGAGCTATTTCTGGGTATATTTGACCTGCTGATTCCAAAAATGGCACTAGTTTTCCCCCATCAACTCCAGTTTTTGAGATATAGAACATATGCCATACACCACACCTGGAATCACACTGTGTCCAATTCTGGGCACCGCAATTTAAGGGAGACATTGACAGGCTGAAATGTGTTCAGAGAAGGGCGACTAAAGTGATCAAGGATTTAGAGAACAAGCCCTATGAGCAGAGGTTTAAAGAGCTGGAGATGTTTAGCCTGTAGAAGAGAAGGCTAACAGGAGACATGATATCCGTGTATAAATATGTGAGGGGAAGTCATGGGGAAGAGAGTGCAGGCTTGTTTTCTGCTGCCCTGGAGACTAGGAGGAACAATGGCTTCAAACTATAGGAAAGGAGATTCCACGTGAACATTAAGAAGAACTTCCTAACTGTGAGAGCTGTTCAGCGGTGGAACTCTCTGGCCCGGAGTGTGGTGGAGACTCCTTTGAAGGCTTTTAAACAGAGGCTGGAAGCTCTATCTATCAGGGGTAGTTTGAATGTGAATGTGATGCTTCTTGGCATGCAGTTGGACTGGATGACCCACAAGGTCTTTTCCAACTCTGATTCTACCAGCCATCATTTGCTCGCCCATCGAAAATAATGATAACCATATATAAAAAAACTAGAGCCGATGCAGTCTATCCAATGCAATTTTCTAAGTCAGTGCCCCATATAACCCTAGGAACAGGCCTAAAAACCAAGACACCAAGGATTTTTTTTGGTTGGGCTGTGTCATGTCCCTGATTTATGTCAAGATGGGCACTACTAAGTGGAGCCTAAACCATAGCTGCATTTGGGCTCTTCATCTTAGATCAGACTACCAGCAGTATTTGGCCTTTAGTCTCTTACATTCTTCTGAAATGCAACAGTAGGGAAAACTGCACTTTGCTCTCATCCATTTTAGCTGTCTTTCATGCATCATTCAGAGGCACAGGGATCCATGTTTTTGTGATAATATCAGAATTCACTTTATTATTGAAGGGTTTTTCCCCCCATTAAAAATTGTTTGTGAGTCAGCTGTGTGTTATGTGTGCATTCTCCTGATGGATAGGAAATCTCTTCTTCTTCCTCTCCCACGTACAACCTGAATGTTATAATTAGAACCTTGAGGTGAGAGGAGTGGTGGGTTTGGAGCCACCATCTAGGACTGCCAAACAGCTACTAGGCAGCAGCAGCAGCGACACTGGTGGAGGTCTCTTCAAGACAACAGCTGCGGCACCAGAGCTAACACTTGTTAGTACTGCACAGAAGGAGGCACGGTTAATCCCCTTTTGAATGTCATACCATGACAACTCTATGATGAGACAATCTAAAATGGAGCAAATGATAGCACTAGAGGATAACATCCCCAAATGTGTTGGCTTATCTTCAGATTTCTGTTTTGAATATTTTATTTATAAGTTTGTTTATTTTATAATTGATAGTCTTGTTTTATCGGAGTTTGTGTCATTTGAGACTCTTCCCCATACTTTGTTAGCTTTTCTTGAGGGGTGCATTCCTCTTTAGCCAGATAGTTGTCTTACTGTCTTGCGGCTTTCTCCAAGGTGCTCTTGGGGAACACATCAATAGGGATATTGGTACTGCAGCCAAGCTTTATCACCTTTACTTGCTAAGCTGGGTGCATGTGGGTTTTACATGGAGGACATGGAATGGATTGGCTATTGTGTCTAGAATAACATTGTCTCTAGTGACAGATTTTTTTCAGGTTGTTTGGCATCATGTAATTTTTTATGTACTTATTTATTAGTTATTATATTTATTTATATCCCACTTTCTTTTTAGAGAGGAAAGCGGGATAGAAACAACTACAACTATGATGATGATGATGATTATTATTAATGAATTTATTACTCACCTCTCCCCGCGGCTCAAGATGGGATAAATCATAATTAAAACAAGAGATAAAACACGATTAAAAGATATACAGCAAGTCAAAGTACAAGTTAAAATCCACTTATAAAGTGCAGATTAAAATTCACAACTTAAAATTGACTGGGTAGGCCTGCCGAAAGAGATGAGTTGTCAAATTTTGTTACACAGTGTAATATATTCAAGTTGTGGTGACTGCCTTCTCTGTGTAAACACCAGTGGAATTTCCATGGACACACTAGGAATGAACGTTGATAATGTTGCTTTGTTAGTCTTCTTTTCTTTTGCTGTTATTTTGATTTCTGGCTTGCTGCATTACAGCTCCCTTATGTTGCCACAAAAGGACTTTTGGATTCATTTGCTTATTGTTTTGCATGCTGCCAAAGTTACTGTCACTTCTTGTATTGTCGGGTGACTGCTTTGTCAAAAGAGACAAACGGTTTATTTGTCTTGACTTTTTTTCCTGCATTATTTGTACTCTTCTTATCGGTTACTGGTTTATTCTTAGGTCTTGAGATCTGGTGATGAAATAAAATTTCACTCTCATTTGCCCTTTTCTGGATTTTCAAACAATGACTTAAATCCTAAAAATAGCAGACATAAAAAGAGTACAATTCTGTACACTGTCACCCATTCACAGAGTTTTCTGAAGCATTCAGCTTGAAATCAGAGATGGGCTTATGAGAATGTCAATTTTATTTACTCCTTGTTACTTAAAGGGAAAAGTAGAAGCATGTGAGAACTATGTTTGCTGCAAAAAGAAAATTTTGGAAATAGGACCACATTGGGAAAAGGAAAGAAAAGAAAAACAAATTGCAGAGAGCAAGGGAGAGCTATAGCCTAAAAGAAAGAAATAACTTCTTATTCAAGAGCTTCTTCTCCTCACTGCATATTGTCTACTTTTAGCTATCATAACTTTTATCCAGTGCAGTTATTTCCTTTTTAGTAGAACTGCCCTGACTTTCAATAGTTTTTCTCTGAGGACAATTTCCTTATCTTGTATTCCCCCCTTATCTTGCATCCAGTTCTTTATCAAATTTTTCGAGGCGCATAAAAGTCTATTGTCTTTCATCTGCCATTAATATTTCATCCACACCCGTAATGCAGAGTAAACGTCATTTCCGTTCTCATATTTGGGCTTTTTTCTGTGTTGCTTATTGTGCTCAGGTTGGGTGTTATTGTTTTTTTTTTTTTGGTTCTTTCTTTCTTTTTTGCAATTTTTTGCTTTGTTGTTATTTTTAATTGCAGAGCTGTTGGCCCAAAATTTTTTCTCAGAATGACGCTGGGAACAGAGATCACTACATTTATCAAAGCTGCTTCCTGTAGCGCAGCAGACCGAAACTTTCTGAAATGGGATTTGCAACCAGAACAAATTAGAACAAGGACTGAGGAACTCATCAGAAAAACAAAGCAAGTCTACAACTGTGTTGGGATGCTTGATTTGGATAAGATTACATATGAAAACACTTTACAGGCTCTGGCAGATATAGAAGTTGAGTATTCAGGTATGTATGCCATTTTAATGTAGCTCTAGGTTGCAACAGAATGCAAGAATTAAATTATAAACCAGAAGAAAGAAAATTTGCGGAACAGAAATATTAAGTCAATTACTAGATATAGAAGTGTTAATTGTTGCATAAAATTGGATTAATATTTAACTGCATGACTGTATTGATTTCAATTCGTGTGGGTCAGGAGCAATTGGTAATTTAGTGTTATCTATGCATATGGAAAATGATGGGCATTTCTGCTTTAATGTGCAGCTTGTTATCCTAATGAAGTCCTCTCTTTTTTGCACATTGGAAGTAGTGTTTTGAATTCTATTACCACTATATGTTGATTTGTATTCTATGTATTTTATTGTATGTATTTTATGTTCATATGTTTTTACTCTGTGTACCCTGCCTCGAGCCGTTAGAAGAGGTGGTTAACTATTATTATTATTATTATTATTATTATTATTATTATTATTATTGCTGTGAATAATTACACAGCTGCACTCTAGCGAAAAGGATGTTCAGTTGCTTACGTGCTCAATGGTAAAAGGAAAGTCGTGAGGCTGCAAAACATACATAATAGGGATAGGGAATGTGAGAACTTGAATCAGGGGAAGCCAGACATAGAAATGGGACTTATAAACATTGCAATACTTGTGATGAATGAGCTAAACTGGACAGATATGGAAGATATCAAGTAAGATAGTTATAGTGTTAATTAAAATCTAAGAAGAAAGGGTTACCATTAGTAGCATTAATATGTACCAAAAGCAGTCAAATGATAAAATGCAAAGTCTGTTGGAATAATTGGAATAAAGCTTCAGGGAAAATCCATCAATATAAATATATTCCAAAGGTATGCTTCAACCTACAGAGATAAAAGAAGAATAAATTGAAAAATGTTATGCTAGAATCCAGGAGGAAGTCGATCACATACCAAAACAGAACTTTTTGTTACTCATAGACAATTGGAACCCAAAAGTAGGAAACAGCAAAATCAAAATTTGTAGAAACTATTGGCCTAGGATCAAGAAATGAAGCAGGAGAGTGACTGATTGAATTCTGCAAGGGCAACAGTTCACACACATTATTCAAGTAGCAACTATATATATAGACATCACCTGATGATCAATGTAGAAATCAAATGGACTGCATCATTAGAAGCAGAAGATAGAGAAGCTCCATTCTCTCTGCAAGAACAAGAACAGGGCAGATTGTGACACAGACCATTAAGTACTAATAAAAAATAAATAAAGCCAAAGAAGAATGCTAAACTAATAATGCTAAGATACATTCTGGAGAATTTAAAGGCAATATAAAGATGGATTTGTAGTATTCAACCTAACTGAAGCCAGATAAACCCTGGACTGAGGATGCGATCAGAGAGTATGCAAAAAGTCACCATCTGCAAAAAGTAAGAGAAGCCTCAGTGGATGACAGATGAAACTCTTCAAGCAAATAAGAACAGATGAGAAGCAAAAGGATAAGGTTACAAAGAACAAGATACATCAGCAGTAAGATCTGTGTGATCAAAGGGAAATTTAAACCAAGAGAGGGGATGCTAAACAAAAAAAGTTGGGGACACATTGCATGACCAAGTGCAAATAAAACAATAATGAAAATTGTTCTGCCCCCATGCTATCATAACTACTTGGAAGGTGAACTGGCTGCACAGGGAACAGATCGGAGACTATATAGTTGAATCAAAACAAGAATTTATTAACTGACAAGAATTTTAGACTTTCTCTCCTCCTGAGTCTCAGTACAAAGTCTTTATAAGGAGAAGTAAGGTCTTTGAAAGATAGATACAGTTCTGGCCGAACTGAGGCTTTTGAATCTTTATTTCTTTTTATTGTCTCTTTTTTATATGGTGTTCAACTGTCTCTAAGATGATCTCAATATTTAACTCCCTCTAACTAAAAAGGGCTTAACTAGGGGTAAACAGTGACGTTCTTTATGGAGCACGACAGAAACAACGCCCAAAAGAAATGTATAAAGGAGAAGAAAGAGTGACAGATTTATTTAAGGAAGAATCATTTTAAGATCGCTCTCCAATTTTAGGAAGAGACATGGAATCTTACATCAGAGTGCTTGGGAGAAATAAATCACCAGGAACAGATGGCATATCAACAGTGTTGCTTCAGGCTACAGAGACAGAATTTTCTCTAGTTCTAAATAAAACCTGTCAACAAATGTCAAAACACTCAATATAAGTATATCCCAACCCCCAAGAAATGAAGAAAAGGGATTGCAGTAACCATTGGGCACCCTTAGCTTTCGTGTAGTTCAGCAGGAATAGGGAGGAAAAAAGTTAAGCATCCTAGTCTTCCACTTTCCAAGGATATCTAGTCAACCACCTTCTATTGCCATAATTCAAAGGCATTTTCAGGACAAAAGTTTTAAAATTGTTCACTGTTTTTCAAAAGTTTATAGTAAGATCACTAATATAAAATTAAACAACATTGCCATGCTCCCACGGAGGCTTTCACTCTTAAGATTTATTTAAGGAACTCCAGTTTAAGGTTGAGGAAACAAAGTTTAAGAAGACAAAGCCAGATAAAAGACACAGGAAAGAGGCCAGAAAGGAAGAACTGTTCGAAAGTAATCAAGAGAATATGAGTTAAGTTCTGAGGTCCCATCCGTTCCTTTAAAGCTGTGGTTCCCAACCTGTGGGTCCCCAGATGTTTTGACCTTCAACTCCCAGACATCCTAACAGCTGGTAAACTGGCTGGGATTTCTGGGAGTTGTAGGCCCAAACACCTGGGGACCCACAGGTTAAGAGTATTCATTTATTAGTCAGACCCTGGGAGGAGTTAGGGTACTGATATTGCATACAATTAAATTATTTTTGTTTATTGCTACACATTCTTGTTGAAAATTTCCAATTCTGTTCTCACTGAGAATTTGGTACCTAAAAGTTATCTCAGGGGACAGAACAAACATGTATTTCTTTTCAGACTAAGAGCTTGTCTTATAAAATGGCACCAGCTTCTTTTGGCATTGTCAATTAAGTTTCCTGGTTCCGAGAAAGATAACGGCACGATTTACCAGCCTTAGCTGCCTTCATAAGATTCAATTGTTTTCACAGATGTTATAGTCATATGCAATATAGTCGTGTTTTTCAGAATTGAATTTGTTTACAAAATGTTAAGATATTGGGCTTTGTGCTATTGTCCAATGTATTTTCTTTGCTTGTTTTCCCCAATAGTGGAAAGAAGTTTGTTGGACTTTCCGCAGCACGTCTCACCTGATAAAGATGTGAGGGCAGCAAGCACAGAAGCTGATAAAAGACTGTCTCATTTTGATGATGAGATGAGCATGAGAGGGGATGTGTTCCAGAGAGTTGTCCATTTACAGGTAAATAGTACAAACAATAATTTAGTAGACATTTTTACAGATCATTAGAGTTGTCAGGCTTTGGAAACAGGTTTATAGATTGAGGGCTCTTCAGTGTTAGTTTTAAACCTCTCTTGTTTTGATTTATTTTCTACATTTCCCCCCAAACCTGGTGCAAGTAATTAAAAAAATCTGTTGCTGGGACAAATGACTAGTATGCATCTCTACTAAGTGTATGCTTCCTCATCATTAAATTATCCTTATTGTGCCATGATTGAAGCCACTTAGCCAGCTTTCATACTGTATGCCCGGTTCATCTCCATATATCCTGGAATATAGATTGAATGTTCAAATCAGCTCACTTCCCTGTCATTTTTGAAACACAAGAAAAATACTGATTAAGTTTTGGGTTTTTGCAGTTATATGCTTTTTGGACAATATCAACCATATACCTGAGGTAATATGCATCTCAACTCATTGTGGGACATTTGTATTGGAACCTCAATGGCATGTAAGAGAAATGCAACTAGCATTTTCTTTGTTTGTTCATTGCTTTGGACACATTAAGTAGGGATGTAGATATGATTGGACAATGAAAGAGTGCAATCCTATTCCTGCCCATTCATATATCGACTAGGCTTCCATTATAATGTGTATAGGATTGTAGTCCCTATGTGGTAGGGAAGTACAGTCTTTCCCATTCACCTCTTTGTGAGCATTGGTGTTTTCATAAAATGTGCATATATGCAAAGTAAGAACGCTTATTAAAGTTAAGGTAGGAAGTCCAATTTATTTATTTATTGCATGCAGAACATTTGCATAAATGTTTATATAATAATTATTCACTGGTTCACTTAATTGTTTATAAGTACATTGGTAAAAAAGGAACTTTTGTTTTTAGACATACAATTTCAGGTCTAATGTTGTCTTTTATGCCTCCATTGAGCATGTGGCTTCATAGGTACATTACATTTGCTGCAAAGGAAAATTTGATTGTTCAGGTATTCATCAGATTTTGTGATGCTAGTAAACTATAGTAATGTTTTACATTTTTGTTTTCCATTAAATGAGCCTAGAACTTCTAATTCCTTGTGGCAATTTTAGCTAATATTCTATCTAATATTCTCCACAACACCACATTTTCTTTGGCTTCCTTTGTCTTAAAATGTCTTTAATGTACTGCATGTTTTGACGTCGAAGAGTTGTTGTTGTTTTTTTTTGAAGTCAGAAGGGCAACCATCATGCTGCTTTTTTCTAGTCTTGTTGACAGCTGAATCCCATTTGTGACACATCTCCTCATGGTTCATTGAAGCATTTTTCTGTATTTGAAGAAACAATGCACAGTCAGAATGTTGTTGTCTAAAACTGATGACTTTCAAAAGGAGCTGCTGGGAGGCATAGAGGTGCTTTATTCCTGTTGTTGAGGAGCAAAAGGAAGCACCGGGTTTGGCTTGTGGAGCTAAATATTTCATCCTCTCTGTTGAAATAACATTCTGATATCAAAAGAGGCATCTGCTTGATTATCACAGAGCCATCTCCATTCAAAAATGATCTCACTCTTCTGGAAAGGCTTTTCTGGATCTGGATGGGGGAAGTGAACCAGCAAGGTGTAGTAGTTTAAGACTAAGACACCTATCCATGCACCCTAGGGCAGGTCACACTCTCTCAGCCTTAGAGACAGACAAGGGGGGGGGAACCCCTATGAACAAATTATGTCAAGAAAACACCTTGGTAGGTTCACCTTAGAGTTGCAATGTCAGAAGTGACTTGACTGTACAGAACAACAGCAATGAATAGCAGGATAAGAGGATGGGAAAACCATTTCTGACCATCTCTTTCTTTTGGCAGTTTTCAATAATCACAGAATATTAGTATGCCTTCCTGGAAGGATACAATGAAAGGTGCAGTCTTAAATCCTTGTCCATCATACAGCCCCTTCATACGCATCGACCCATAACTACCCATCTAGGACCTTTTGTGATTCTTTCTCGACTCTCGTATGTCCTGGTTCTTTTAAGAAGTATATCACTTGCTATTGTGACTAGGATAAAAATTAAAGACTTAGATTTTCATTAAAGACTTAGATTTTTTAAAAAAATCATAAAGAAAATTAAAATTCTTGTAATGCAGAAGGCCATGTGGGCACAATCATCTAAAGACATCAGGGTTGCAAACTGTGCCTCTCTCATTCTTGGATCATCATCACTATTCACAGTAGGTCACATTGTAATGAATAAACACTATTGTATATAGACCAAAGTCACCAGGAGACTGATTCTGCAGGTTTGATGGATTTATTATTATTATTAATTATTTACTGTATTTAATAACCCTGAAAGGGACTCAGAGCGGCTTACAGATTATGGCAACATTCAGTGCCACATCATACAACAAATAATAAATATAACATATCAAATTATAAAACAATTAAAACATATAAATGCAGTAAGTGCAACAACAAATAATAAATATAACATATCAAATTATAAAACATATAAAACATATAAATGCAATAAAACGTATTAAAAATAGTTTTAACAGAGCAGATGTTTCATCGGGAAGAATGAGATGCCATATATAGGTTATCTTTTCCTTGTGCAACCTTACATGGACTTATGAAAGTGGGATGGAGCAGATCCATGAGAAAGAGCAGTGCACACTTTCTTGTCCAGTGAAATGGAAACTTGACAAGATGCTAACCTTGAAGTAATACTGAAAAAGGAATCCTTTTGAAATAATATTTTTCCTTGTTAACCAATGAAGTGATAGCCTTCTCATGTGCATGTTGACACAAATTTATAGATTGTTGATGTAGTAGTAGTTTTTATTTTTGATCAAGCTCTTGTAAACCAGTGGTTCAGCTGGCTAAAAGATGACTCAAAGTTAAAGTGATGGGGTCTATGCTAGATAAGCCCCAATAATTGAGTACAAACTGGAAAAAGAAAAGGTCTACAATGAACAACCAGAATCAACATGCAAGAATATGTCAACTTAACATGGATTGAATATGATAAGAATAAAATAATAAATGTTTCCCTTCAAGTATATCTAAGTGATGCAGTTCAACCTTTCCAAGGTGGTACTGACATGTGCCAAATAAAATGTGTTGGGTTATTTAACTTGCTTTAGACTTTCAAACCTCTTGGTGTAGTTCGGTATATTATGTCTTATGTCCTACACAAATAGTCATTGCACGAATTAAAGCCTTTAGCTCACTCATGTTTCCAGACTGAAAAATGGGCTACTTGGTGAGCCATCTTATGGGATATCATACAGTTGGGCCCCATGATTAAACCTGGCAGGAAAACCAAGAGAGAATTTGAGAGGTAAATTATGTACATTGTTGAGGTTAGTTCATTCAAATTAGTTAAGGGACTGGGAGCATTGTATGAACCCAGATCAGTTGTTACAGATGATTATTCAGTGTTGGATTAATGGAGCCAACCAATCTATAGTTGGGGAGGAATAGAAGATTTCCCCCAACAAACCATACTTTTGCAGACTCCAAGGAATTCTTGTGGTTTATGTGTTAGTCTTGGGCACCATCCAACCCCCTCTTAGTGATTTATCTGTATTCCTTTCCTGCTGCAAAATGTACTTTGCTCAACAAAGATGCTGATAGCTTCAGTATGTTGTTGTTTCTAACCTTATATATTGAGAGATCCAGAAAAGCAAAAACAAAAGCATAATTTAAACAAATATTTTGAAAATTAAACCATCTCTTTTCTTATCAGCCCTTTAACAGCCAGGTAAAAAGTACTTGGAGGTTATTTCTCATCACATATTTATCAACAACCTCTCCCAAGTGAATGTGCATAGATCAGGCATGGGCCAACTTGGGCCCTCCAGGTGTTTTGGACTTTAACTCCCACAATCCCTAACAGGCTCAGGCCCTTACCTTTTCCTGAGTGGGAAACCAAAATTGTCCGAGAGTGTTAGGAATTATGGGAGTTGAAGTCCACAATACCTGGAGGGTCCAAGTTAGCCCATGCCTGGCACAAAAGGTCACCTAATTTGTGTAAAACAGCGTCCTTCAGAAATGCCTGTATTTCAAAGCAAATGTGTGATGGCCCAATTGTAATATAAATCTTTATTCTATGTTTACTCTACTCTGAAAGTGATTAGTGTAGATTAGTAGCTGTCAGGACTCATTTAAGTTTTTTTTTCTTAGTAAAAAGCAATATTTTCCCATCCGTCTTACATTAGTGGAAATTTTATTCTCACTTTCCATCACTTCTGTGCATATTTGTGAAGCAGAAGAAAATAAGCTATTTTAATCATATTAATAGGCAGTGATTTAATGGATTAAATAATTTGATTTTTTAACTGTGATGTGCATTAGTAGCCATTAATACTTAATTCTTGTCACAAATCTATTAGGAGGTGTTAAGCAGGTTAGATGATGATGACGACGATGTCTACTACTACCAGCTGCCCTCCATAATCGCTGGGGTTAAAGGCAGAGAACTCCCATGAAAATGGATAAATGGAATAAAACCCCACTATTTTTCAATTAGAGAGAACACCTCTCTATGAATCTCTAGGTCCTTCAGGATGACTCTATAGTTGTGCTAAAGGATCTATAGATTTCTAAAGGGAATATTTTAATCAAATCCATGATTAATCAAATCCTCAAAAGTCCAACCAGCAAATATGGAGGGCTGTTTATAGATTATTCTGTTGTGAAGAGAACTGCTGAATATGTCTACATATAAATGTGCAACATTTCTGTGCAGTATAAGGTAAAGGTTTCCCCTCACATTAAGGCTAGTCGAGTCCGACTCTGGGAGGTGGTGCTCATCTCTATTTCTAAGCCGAAGAACCGGCGTTGTCCTTAGACACCTCCAAGGCCATGTGGCCAGCATGACTTCAAGGAGCGCTGTTATCTTCATGCAGAAGTGGTACCTATTGATCCACTCACACGTGCATTTTTTCGAACTGCTAGGTTGGCAGAAGCTGGGCCTAACAGCAGGAGCTCACCCTGCTCCTGGGAGTCGAACCACCAACCTTTCAATCAGCAAGTTCAGCAGTTCAGTGTTTTAACCTGCCTCACCACCAGAGGCTCCCTGTGCAGTACAAACTTTTTTGAAAACTGGCTTTCTGTTTTATTACAATTTTGATCTCTCCATCAGGAGGAACAAACATTTATTCTGAGTTGCTGTGAGTTCAGGCTGAGCAAACCTCCAGGGAAGCTTGCCACAGATGCAGGCAAAACATTGGAGAAAATGCTACTGGAACATGGCCATACAGCCCGAAAAAACTCACAGCAACCCAGTGATTCTGGCCATGAAGGCCTTTTACAAAATGTTTATTCTGCTTGAGGATATGCAACCCATAATGGGCAACAAGGTTACTTTTATGAATGAGAAAAAAGATCTTCCAGTTTGAAACAAAGAATCGTTGTTTTCTTTAGAAAATTATTTAGGAGAATATGTCAAACTATAAAGGTCATTCCGTAGTACAGAGGCATAAGGAAAAGAAAAAAAAAACCCACTTCTTGCTTTTCTTGTAATGCCTCCTGAGCTTTTAACATGATGCTTCACATTTTTCTATGTGTTTTTATTTCAGCAAACATGTGACCTTAAGGCGTTACAGCCTGAAGCCAGAAGATACTTAGAGAAGTCAATAAAAATGGGAGAGAGGAACGGGCTCCACCTTCCTAGTGAAGTACAAAATGTAAGTGTGGCATAATGACGGCATTTTAAAAAGGAGGGAAATGATATCGTTATATTTTTATAAACCCACATTCTGTGTTTTCAGTTTAGGTTTTGACAGCCTTAACAAATTTAGGTTGCAGTTCTGAATATGTCAAATCAGAAGTAAGTCATTCTGTTTTCAGTGGTACAAATTCCCAGGTTGGTGTGCATATACTGAAAGCTTAATACGTAGTAATATATATAAAAGTACAATTATTAAACAATATCAGACATGATTTTGTGGTCAAATGACACTTTAACACTATTGCTTTTTATTTTGTTGTTGTTCATTCGTTCAGTCGTCTCCGACTCTTCGTGACCTCATGGACCAGCCTACGCCAGAGCTCCCTGTCGGCCATCACCACCCCCAGCTCCTTCAAGTTCAGTCCAGTCACTTTAAGGATGCCATCCATCCATCTTGCCCTTTGTTGACCCCTCTTCCTTTTGCCTTTTATTGCTTTTATTGCTTTTTATTTATATGACTGTAAAACTATTGCTACGCATTTGTTTGTTTGTGTCTTGAAAATTCTCCATAACTCACAAAAAAAGGGTTGCTTCAAAATCTCTATGCACTTGAGGTTCAAGCTATGTGGTAATTTGCTCTTGGGGCCATTTATTAGTCATTTTATTCTCAATATCTTGGGTTTAGACAAGATAGAAATGAATAGTTCGTAGCTTAATTACTTCATACACTCTATTGTTTCCTCCATATGCTTTTATTTTAAAAGCATATGGAGTTATGTTATGTTATGAAGGACACATAACAGTGAAATATGTAATACATATGTGTGTTCATGCCTTCAGGTCACTAACATAACGATACTTTTATTTAATGTGATTCTCAGAAATTTCTCTGTACTTTAATATTAAGGAAATCTTGGCAATAAAGCAGAAACTGAGTGAATTATGCATAGACTTCAGCAAAAATCTAAATGAAGACAACACTTTTATGATATTTTCTCAAGATGAACTGCGTAAGTATCTTTGTTTAAAAATTCCTGTCAAGTAGAGATGTAAAAAAATAGAATAATAACACCATCAGGTTGTTGCATATTTTACCAGTGACAAATGTCTTTGATTGTTTTCATATGCTAATTCATGTCCTTACTTATCCCTCTTCTATTTTATTTTGATTTTTCCTTAATTTATACTCTCTGAAAAAAAGTTACTTCGTTTTTGCACATTTTTTCCTGCAAATATTGTTGACTTTGAGCAATTTATATTCTTTCAGGGACGCTGTCATATCCCTGATAATCACATATTTATATAATATTTTTGAAGCTTCAAAATTTAACATCTTTCCAAAATATTCTTACGTTATATCAAATTAGTGTGTTTAAATTTAGGCAAATACATTTAATGAATTTCTGTATTTACTTCAAAGTACATTGCTGACAATTAAAATGTTTGTTTATGTCTATAGCTGTTAATTGTTAACAGTATGAAACAGTTAACTGTATAAAAGTCTTGTGCATTTGTATAGAATTGATATTAGTTTCTGTTTCATTCACCAGCCCTCCCTTTTTTGTTTTTGCATGCCTTCTGAAAACGGGTGCTTTTCCAAATGAGCTTTTTCGTTCTGTGTCCGAAAAAAATGAAAATGTTTGGACCATTGGCCAACATGGGTGGCTTCCCTGGCTCCCCTTCCCTCACTTTTAGGGCTACAGAGGCGAAAATCACCACACTTGGGGGGCACACCTATCACTTTTAGCACACTAAGTTTAATTACGTTTAGGTCTGTCTCCGATTTTTAGGGTGTTTTTTTTTTTTGGTTTTTAGAAATAAAATCTCCTTTAAAACATTATATTTTCCCCCCACCGACCCCACCCCCTAACTTCTGCAGCAGCAGAAGGGAGGCAGGGCAGCATTTCTTTCCACCAAATGTCAAAGATGCTTCACATATACACCACACATGCACAGCCCAGTGTCCAGCCCCACTATTTCACTCTCTTCTTTAATAAAAAAATGACAAAACTGCAAGCTACTGGAGGCTTTCGCAGCAGCAGACACGCACCTCGCAATGAGGGCTCCAATAAATACAATGACCAATGCGTGCCCACATGACAATGTTCTTAACCTCCAATCGGCCCAACAGGTAGGGTTCAGAAGTAAAAACTAGCACATGGCAACTCTCCATGGGCAGTGTGAGGAGCGCCACGTGGCCCGAAAATCAGACAAATAAACAGTAATTGTTTCCGCATACTTTTCGTTTTGGGCTTGATTTTCATACCAGAGGGGGGTTACTGTTTTGAAACAAATGGAACGAAATAATGAATTAAACGGCACAAATGGGTACCACGCACATGACTACTATATAACAGTTAACATAACTTGTAGTTCTTAGAATTTCTGTTGTCAGGAGAAACAAGTTGGTAATTAAAAGTTGCAACTCTAGCCATTTCAAATATTTTTATAGGGAATGTCTGAAGTATATACTTTCATTAAATCTTGTGATAAAATGTGTTTCTCAGGTGGCCTTCCTGATGATTTTATCAGTAGTTTAGAGAAGGTTGAAACAGACAAATACAAAGTTACTCTAAAATATCCCCACTATTTTCCTGTTCTGAAGAAATGCAGTGTTCCTGACACCAGGCGGAAATTGGAAGCTTCTTTTAACACCAGGTGCAAAGAGGTACGTGTAATTTGCCCTATCCTTAATAAAAGGAGGGATATAATAGGGACAGTACTAATCAAGTAAGGTGTGTGAAAAGTCATGGGTCAGTTGTAAAGCTTTGCAGGTAGAGCTTCAGGCTCAATCATTGGTATCTCTACTTGATTAGGGAGCACTTGATTGTCAGCTGCGGAAACCCCGAAGTGTCATTCACACATAGGGAACCCAGAAAAAAAATCAAATAAAATTATGTATAATTAAACCAATAAAATGGTTTAGCCCTGGGGCAGGGATGTCAAACCCATTTCCATCAAGGGCTACATCAGCCTTATGGTTGCCTTAAAGGGCCACTGAATCCATGGACAGAGAATCCATGTATATGGACAACCAACTAAAAATGTTTTACATAGTTGTCAGCGCTCTTTAGTTTTTGCTAAAATTGGGTCTCTCGATGTTGGTGAATGACAATTCCCAATCACTTTTGATTATCCACCATTCGGACTAGGGATAATGGGAATTGAAACCCAACAAAACTAGTGGCTCTGAGGTTGGAGAAAGATTAAAGTCCTTCTTAATTCAAACCCCACTCTGCTGAATAAATAGAAAAAAACACAATCTTCCAGAAGTTTCTATATCACAACTCCCACCAGCTCTAGTTGTGATGTCTAATGATGAAGAATACAGGAGTTGTAGTCCAGCATCTGGAGAGTGACATAAAATAGGCATTGAGTTTGAGACATGTGGCCTAGGAAATCTGCGTTTTATAAGCACTTTGTGTTGCTCCTTTTGTCTATTAATTTAATAAAAGCGGCAAAATGGTTTCCCGTTGTTTGGTCTTTCTCCTCCCAGAAGTCCCAAAAATTCCAAAATATATGGAAGATGAGATGATATCGATACTATATTGCAGAGTAATGCTTTTTATCCTACAGTATGGTATTTTTCACAACATGCCCTGAAATATTAATAATATTAAATATGAATAATACTTTGACTCCCTCCAACATAATTTATTATGTTTTATTTTCATAATTAAAATTTCATAAGTATTACTGCTATCTGAATGTGATTATTTTTTCTCCTTAAAATAGTAAGGATCCTTGCAAAAATTGTTTACAGTATGTGCAATAAATATATTGCTACCCTTTTTAAAAATGCAAAGTTTCTGATGTAGATAACCACAGAGCTTTTCTGTATTTAAAAAGCCTAGTTATATCAGCATTTTACATATTGCAAACTTTGTTTCAAAACCACCCATTGGATTCATATCCTGACTCTAAAGCTTGTAATGAGATAGTGAAAGTACCTACAGAGAAGCACAACTCATACAATGCCTTTGCTCGCAAACCAAATCTCAAGTTGACCAAAAACTGATTCATAGAGTAGAGAGTGGTCCTTGGTCAAAGTGGGCCCTGTTCAAGCGGTCCCTGGTCAAAAAAAGGTTGAAAAATCACTGGTCTAAACCTTTTACAGGCTTGCAATTTTCCATTTTTCTTTATTTCTCTCTTTTCTCCAGTCCCTAATTATAGAGTTGTTTGCATGAAATGCATGTGATTATCCACTGTGTCATGGGAATGGAGGACAAATATATATTATATATACATTAATCGCATACAGACTTTCAATTCTTTAAAATAATGCACTGTTATCAAGACCATATTAATGTATTATGGACCGAGTATCTCATATCTGAAATGCTTGGGACTAGAAGTGTTCAGGATTTGGGATATTTTTTTCTCCAGATTTTGGGATACTTGTATTTGTATATATGTACATAATGAGATAGCATAGACATGGGATCCAATTCTAAAAAACAAAATTAATGTATTTTTAGTATACACCTTATATACAGAGTTTGAAGGTAATATTATGAATTATATTTTAATAATTGTGTGGATGGAACAAATTCTGTGTGTATTGAACTATCCACAAACAAAGGTGTCACTATCTTATCCACCCATGTGGACAATTTTGAATTTTGGAATATTTCAAATTTTGGAATTCTGGATAAGGGATGCTCAACCTATACTCATATTCATATCCTACATTTTGTCTAGAAAGCTCAAAGGGGACTGTTGGGCTCCCCTCTATACTTTATCTTATCTAATGACATAGGTTAGGTTGTGGGAGAGTTTGTGGCCCAAGACCTCTTGATCAGTTCTGTGGGCTACGAACCTAGGTTTCTCAACAACACTGCTTCCCTTAAGCACATTTTATTAGGAGTATTTGTAGTTGTTGTAGCTGTGGAAATGTATTCTTTCATTGCATGAAATGACTGAAAATTTTGATTTTATTACTCTAGGAAAATTCTAACATTCTTCAGCAGCTGCTCCCTTTGAGGGCAAAACTAGCCGAGCTTCTGGGATACGACACACACGCCAACTTTGTTCTTGAGCTAAACACTGCAAACATCACAGACAATGTTACAGTGTTTTTAGGTATGTTTTTATGTATCTGTAAAAAAATATTGTACACGGTAGCAAAACATGTATAATGAATATCAGTTAATGTGTTGTCAAAGGCTTTCATGGTTGGAATCACGGGTTGCTGTGAGTTTTCTGGGTTGTATGGCCATGTTCCAGAAATGTCAGGAGACAATGCTTCTAGAACATGGCCATACAACCTGGAAAATTCACAACAACTCAGTTACAGTGTTAGAAAGAAAACTGCTGAATTGTTTTTAACGAAATCTATTAAATCCACTTTAAGCTGATGCTGTTGTCCATATTTCCCAAAACTCCAATTTATATGTGGAGAAAAATCAAATCTGCAAAAGTCAAATCTGCAAATGTGAAAAGCCAATTATATATACATAATTTTCTTATTTTTAGTCTTATTTTTTATTTGAATGGCACGCTCTGTGCATCATGCTTAATAACATGACCAGGGCCTTCTCCCTGGGACAGTTCTGACCTTTCAATGCTAGCATGAGAGTAATAGCCTCCAAGCTCCACCAGTGCTATATTTTCTATCACAGGCATGGACAAACTTTGGTCCTCCAGATGTTTTGGACTTCAACTCCCACAATTCCTAACAGCCTCGGGCGCTTTCCTTTTCCTCCTTAGCCGCTTAAGCATTGTGGGAGTTAAAGTCCAAAACACTTGGAGGGCCAAAGTTTGCCCATGCCTATTCTATAATATGGTATTAGCCAAGGTCTTACAAATATTATTTTAATTTCTTTTCTCTTTTTTGCAGATGATCTAAGTAATAAGCTAAAGCTCTTGGGTGAGGAAGAGAGAGCATTTATTCTAAGTCTGAAGAAAAACGAATGTGAAGAAAGAGGGTTTGAATATGATGAGAAAATTAATGCTTGGGATCTATATTATTACATGAATCTGACTGAGGAGCTCAAGTATTCTGTAGATCAAGAAAAGCTGAAGGAGTACTTTCCCATTGAAGCAGTCACAGAAGGGTTACTGAATATTTACCAGCAGCTGTTAGGACTTGTATTTGAACAAGTGGATGATGCTTATGTTTGGCACGAGAGTGTTACTCTGTACACAGTAAAGGATAGTTCAACAGGAGAAGTTTTAGGGCAGTTCTACTTGGATTTATACCCAAGGTAACAATCATTTCTAGTTGAAAGTATTGTTTATTATAACTGTCTTTTCAAAATACATTCATATCTTGTCTTCCTGCCAAGGACATCATGATGAACATAGTTTTTACTTTATTTTATCCTCCTAATGACCCTTATGAACATAAGAAAAAGGGTGTTCACTGTCCCAATATCATCCAGTAAACGTACTGGTTTTGTGTAGATTTGAACCTAAACAACATTTGCTATTCTGATCAAAAACGTTTTGATAACTATAAGAGTGCCATCTGCCAGCTGATAATGTAAACCAGAGCTTTCCAAACTGTGTGTCACAACACATTAGTGTGTCAACTACAGTATGTCAGTGTGTCGTGCAAACATAACAGAAACCTCTGAGAAATAAGCAAGAAATCGTATATTTTAAATATATATAAATGAAAGATTTTCATGAGATGTGTTGTGTCCCTGTACATTTTGTTACTATAATTTGCGTATCTGTCAGTATCTCTTGTAAGGGGTTGGATCTAACTTTTGGTTTGCTAATAAAACTAAATTACTGTGTAATTAGGAGTCCCTAGTAGCGCAATGGGTTAAACCCTTGTGCTGGCAGGACTGAAGACTGACAGGTCAGAGGTTCAAATTCGGGGAAAGGACGGATGAGCTCTCTCTGTCAGCTTCAGCTCCCCATGCGGGAACATGAGAGAGGCCTCCCATAAGGATGGTAAAACATAAAACATCCGGCTGTCCCCTGGGCAACATCCTTGCAAACCACCCATTCTCTCACACCAGAAGAGACTCACAGTTTCTCAAGTTGTTCCTGACATTGAAAAAATACCTGTCTAATTGTTCAAAAAGTATGACACCAATATGAAATGTAAGCATTAAAAATAATTTTAATGTATTTATAAAAAGAGTCAGTGGTAGACACAGTTCCCTTTCTATAAGAGTATGAACGAAGTAGAAAGTGTAGTTTTCATGAACTACTGTTTTCTTGACCTATCATCTAAGTCTTTTAAGCATCTGAGGGGGAAAAGGAAAGGGTCTGAGCCTGTTAGGAATTGTCGGAGTTGGAGTCCAAAACACCTGGGGGGCTGAAGTTTGCCTTTGCCTGATCTAAGCTATGTTCAAGTCCTGGTTGTATGAGACTGAGGAAACGTAATTTCGCAATCTCTTCAGTTAGCAGCTTAACAGTCCATTCTGTGCCGCCTGCGTTTCCTTTTTTCTTTCCTTCCTGACTTCTCTCCCAACCACCATTTTCTTTCACTTGGGGAAGACAGATCTCTTTCCCTCTTGCTGAAAGTCCAAATTAATTGTTTGAATTGGACTTTTGAAATTAAGTGGAGAGAAACCATTGCTGTCAAAGACTTCTTTCTCATAAAAACTGGCTCAGTTTTATGTCCAATGTGGTTAGTGATCTGAAGCAGTTTTATTTTCATTAATCATTACTTTGCCATAATAACCCAGTTGGAAAACTGGTTAGTGCTCACCTTCAAGCCATAAGTCCACTTCAAATTGTGATTTGGATACAAGGAGTTAATCAGAGTTTCCCAATGTGGTCAACACAACCAACTAATTAGCAAAAGTGGTTTGCCGTGAGTTTCCCAGGCTGTATTGCCATGTTCCAAAAGCATTCTCTCCTGACCACATCTATGGCAGGCATCCTCAGAAGTTGTGAGGTTCTGAGGCAGCCTGCCATAGATGTGGGTGAAATGTCAGGAGAAAATGCTTCTGGAACATGGCCATACAGCCCGAAAAACTCACAGCAACCCAGTGATTTTGGCCATGAAAGCCTTCAACAACACATTACTTAGCAAAACCTAGGAAGTAGAACAAGAGACAAGATTAGCAGACAAGACCAGACAACCAAGATGGTTATAGACTCTACAATCCCGGCCCAGAAAGTGTCATGTGGAATAATACAACCAATTTCTTTGGCTTTCATAGGTTTTGTATCAAGGAATATGTATGATGTAACTGCAATTGTCAAAAAACTGTGAGGCGGAGTGTTATGCATTATGATCCCTATTTTGCTAAAGTTTATAAAGCCTACTATTACTCTTTATTCCTGAAATCTTTTTGAACATTACATGGAAAAGAGAGTGCTTCAGGGGATATGTCCTTAACTGTAATTGCTATGACTAAGTAGCGCTTACAGTAAAATGACACACAGAAGCAGCCAGGATTTTCCCTTAAGTGGCATCATGCTTGAATTTTTAAAAAGAAAGTTGAGCATTAGGATATTTTATGGGTCTGTATGCGAAGGGATGATGACATGTTTGGATCTTGGGTATTGTTATAAAACGACAAGGAATTGCCTCCTTGTTCTTTGCTGTTCCAGGAAAAGAAATTCAAATTAAGTAGTGCTGAAATGATTCAGTTTCTTCCTCTGCAATCCTTCTCTAAACAATTATTTTGGCTCTTTCTTCCTTTTTAATTTAGAGAAGGGAAGTATGGGCATGCCGCATGTTTTGGCCTCCAACCCGGTTGCCTTCTTTCCAATGGCAGCAGAATGATGTCCGTGGCAGCGCTGGTGACCAACTTCACAAAGCCAACCCTGGATCGCCCATCACTGTTGCGACATGATGAGGTGAAAACATACTTCCATGAGTTTGGGCATGTGATGCACCAGATATGTGCACAGGTTAGCAGTCCTCTTATTCCTGAAAAACAAACAAATAAATAAATAAATAAATAGGTGATTTTCTTGTTCGGTTTTTTAATCCTGACTTCCAGATTCCCAGTTGGGGAAAAAATGCAAAATCATAGTAAATATGGATGGATCATATTTAGAAATGTTTTCAGCTTGCAGGACTTAGTTATATATTTGCTTATTCAAGAAAATACAATGAAGAATACCTCAAATGCTGTATATTAGATCTGATCTCATTGACGTCAGGGACAAATGTAACATAAACTGTGATTTGATTAACGAAGCTATGGGCACCTTAAAGACTGTCATTAGGTGGTGCAATGGGTTCAAGCCTTGTGCCAACAGGACTGTTCAAATCCGGGGAGTGGGGCGAGCTCCTTTCTGTCAGGTCCAGCATCTTATATGGGGACATGAGAGAAGCCTCCCACAGGATGGTAAAACATCCGGGCATCCCCTGAGCAACGTCCTTGCAGATGGCCAATTCTCTCACACCAGAAGCAACTTGCATAACACCAGAAGCAACTTGCAATATGTTGGTTTGCTTTGAACGATTCCTGAAAATTGATTTGCTCCTTTGTGTAAAGCTAGTACACTGGTTCCAACTTTAAACTGGTTCAAGATGTTGGCACCATTTTGGGAACTGGCATATATATGAACCTACGGATACTTAGATCTTTCTTACAAAATCAACTGTCAAAGGGAAAGCTTTTCAGGTGTACATACTCTCTTGTGTGTTTATATCATTTCCCTTTATCCAGCTGTAGTCTTGTTTCTTTTTAGGACCTAAGATCAGATCCTGGGATGTGGGGCCTGTCTGGAAGAGCCCCAAGAGTTCTACATTTCAATGATGTTTTTAATTGTCTAATTAGACTATGCTATTTTATTGATGGGAATCAGAGCTGTTAGGCTCAAAATAACCCTCACTTGGGGTGATTCCACAAATATATAGCAGAGTTGCCAGAAGCACACTTCATAACCAACAGAAACTTATGTGTGGTGACATAGGATTAGCAAGATGGCACAAGATTGCAGAGGCACAAATTTAGGTTCCAAAAATGTATGTTTATTAAATTAAAAAAGAAATCCATTCTAGATAGAAAAGGGTCTTGGAGCTAACTAGCTTCCTAAGCTATCTTCTAAGAAAGGTAAAAGGATAAAAATAAGAAAATAGTATCCATGCAGCGACATCTTGCCTGGAGAAAGGCAAGATGCATCCTTACTCAAAGGAAGACAAAGGCAGGAAGAGGAAGGGCCAAAATGGAGAATGACCACATGGCCAATAAGCCAGGGCAAACAAAATACCTTTAAAGAGGAAGTTATCTCATCCCTCACAGAGATCACATTGCTAAATCTTCAAAGGGGGAGAAGTGGTGGTAGGATATAAAAATAAAGTTGTTGTTGTTGTTATTCTCATCTTCCATAGACTGATTTTGCCAGGTTTAGTGGAACTAATGTGGAAACAGACTTTGTAGAGGTACCTTCACAAATGTTTGAGAACTGGGTCTGGGAGAAGGAACCTTTGCAAGAAATGTCAAGACATTATGAAGATGGGAGCCAGATACCAGATGATCTCCTGGAAAAGCTTGTTGCTTCCAGGCTAGCCAATACAGGTATTTAGGTATTTCCTTGTTCACTTCGGGTTTTGTGTGTGTGTGGGAGAAAATTAATAATTCAAATGAAACAAATTTATAAAGAGAAAATGGGTTTGTAAGGTCTATCCCGCCCCCCCCCCCCAAAAAAATCTGGAACACTGGGGTGAAGCAGCTTCAGAGAAAATTCCAGCAAATATTCAGTCTTTTTGAACTGTGGAAAGTCCAAGGGGTAGATCAAAATTTATTCTTAACTACAGCTAAGCCCTATTCATTTTGTGTCAACTCTAAATAGATCTACTATTAGCTTTAGCAGACGATCTTCCTGGTATCTAAAATAATAGTACGTAGCTTGAAAATGGATTTCGGAGAACTAATTTCCTTGTAGTAGATCTGACTGATAATTTTCCAGCATGAGCTTCAGACAGTATCATGCATTACAGCCTAAGAGATACATGCTGTCATATTTAAGGAGGCTGTAACATGCTAATTTTGCAATAAAACAACTCAAAAGGTTACTTGCAACTCCAGACTACATGTACACATTTTAATAGAAAAAGTAACTATTTCAAACAGAGAATGGAATCATACGAGTTGGAAAGGACCTCAAAGGCTAACAAGTCTAGCCTCTATCATGCTGGAGTATTCAGCTAAAGCACTCCTAAAAGATTACATCACTGTGGACGCATAGTGTATACTTCCGTGAAATAGTCTTGGCTCTTACCTGTCAAGGAGGATTTTACTGAAGATAAGTGAAGGAAATAATATCATTTCAAGTTCAGTCAAGTTCTGGTCTGTCTGCATGGTATGTCAACTGCAATTTGCACTATTGGTAAACAGGATACGGGTGTGGCCATTCTTGGCAGCTTCTTTGCCAGTTGACTGTACCAACTCCCTGCCCTGGACTTTACTTGGTTTTCTGCTTCCCTTCTTCTACATATGTATTCACTATGTTATGAGAAAGGGCAGAAAAGTGAGGTGAAATGTACAAATGTTAGACCCATTTTCATATCTCCTAGGGATATGAGGGGAATATAATCGAATCTAAATAGGATTTGTCTGCAGGAAAGTTGTCTTCCCTTTAGCTGTGAACGCCAGCATTTATATTAGCTTCCAATACTTACCAATACTTTCTCTTGTTGTTTATCTAAAAGTTCCTTAAATTATTGTAGCATGCAGAAATATATTATAACCTGTGACGAGGCGAATAGCCTGCATTTCCATATTGGCTCTATGAAAGAGAAACTTGCCAACTTGGATAGCTTTAAAAAGGGAATGGACAAATTCATGGTCATCTGAGTAATTGCCATCCTGATTAGAGGACATGTTCTCCGCCTTCATTAAGGAAGAGTAGCTTCTGAGCTCCTCCATGTCTTTCTTCTCATCATCCATTAGTAGCTACTAGTCAGGATAGCAATATGTCCCATCTAATACTTCTGCGTTGGGGAGCTATTAAAAAACACAAGATGGAAGGTGTGTTTCTACTCATATTCTGCTGTTGGACAACTGATTGGGCACTATGTGAACAGAACATTAGACTACGCAGGCTTTTGATATGATCAAACGTTGCTCCTTTTATGTTCTTAGTTCTTATGATCCATAAGTTGGTAACCTCTTTGCAGGCTAGTTAAAACAAGCAAAAAACAAGCAAATGCTACCATATACCAGTTTGATAAGGGACAAAATGAAATTGGCAATGCCACTCTTAATTCCATGTTGCCAGTGAATGACTTCTTCCATAATTATTGTACTTCTTCCATAATTATCACAAAAGCAAAGCAATATGGCAGGCCAGTTATGAATGAGCAACCTCCTTATGCTAGCTTGATCACCAACCTGCCATGAGGGATGATGGGTGATACACATTTAGCACCTTGACCTGTGATTCCTAGGGAAGTAGTTAAATATAGGTCTGATGCATAAGGCCATTGCTTTTCTATGATTCTGTTTTTTCTGTAGACTGTAATAATTCCGCCCCCCCCCCCGCCCCCCTGCACTCCTTTCTAAAGTAGGGATTTTCTAGTACTCATCACATCTCGCTGAATCCATTGAACTTTCATTGCTGGTTTGTGAAAAACTGTGTTTTGCTCCACTGACTAGGTCTTCTGACACTTCATCAAATTGTTTTGAGCAAAGTTGACCAGGCTGTTCATACTAAATCTTCTGCTGATCCTGCTGAGGAATATGCCAAGTACTGTGATGAAATTCTGAGGATCCCAGCTACTCCAGGTGTGGAAATGTAAAACTTCAATTTTCCTTTTGTTACTTCTTAGAAACACCTATTTGTATTGTTTTCTTTTAAGTCAGAACATTGCTTCAAATAAAGTAAGGGGTGGTACTTGTAAAGAGTTGTTTTTCATATAGCAACTTTCCAAATGGATGTTTTTACTGTTTCTGTTAGCATTCTTATTATTTTAGTTCCTACTCTCCCTTAGACAGAAGGTCTATGCTATGTTGGCATGAATCCAGTGTTCTATAAATAAAGCTTTGCTTCTTGAGTCGCTGTTGTTTGATCCATACATAGCTGCACAGTCCTGAAAATCTGCTCCAGGAGATTGAAAGGGCTTTGGAATTGGATGGAAGGTGGCATTGAGAACTGAACTCCCCTTCCCCAGTGTTTGAATATTTGAGTGAACTTAAATCATATCTTCACACAGCCCCAAAGATCCTCTGAAGATGCCAGCCACAGGTGAAATGTCAGGAGAAAATGCTGCTAGGAACCATACAACCCAAAAACCACACAACACCCCAGAAATTGTCCTGTTAGCATTACAATGTCTAGCAAACTCAGAGCCTTCTTGAGTCCAAAGTGATGGTATGAATTGCAGGTCATCTCCAAGCCTGGCATCAGCATCTGCTGTCCTAAATTAACTAATAGTGGTTTGGTCCTCTAGTTTAAGTTACTAGGAACAACTCCCCATTTTAAGTGGTCATTTTCATTTATTTTTCTGCTTCATAATGCCAGTAGTCTGGGCCACTGCAGGAGTTGGAAAGGGCAGCTTCCAGCTGACGCAGGTGTCCATAGGGCCCATTAGAGCAGTGGTTCCCAACCTGTGGTCCATGGACCACCAGTGATCAGCAAGAATTAAAACATGGTCCACAGCTTTACTGTTACTACACTGTTGCAACCAGAGCAACTGGTCTCATGAAACCCTCTTATAGTGCCGAGGCTTATTAAATATGGTTTTCTGTTGGCGAGCAGATGGCGACAACTGGATGGCATATGTTCTGTATCAGAAACTAGAGCTGATGTGGTCTATCAAATGCAGTTTTCTGAATCAGCACCCCAGATAACCAAATCGAATCTAAAGTTGACCAAAAACTGATTGGTAACCCTTTTGCTACTGATGTTGGAGAGTGGTCTCTGGTCAAAGTGGTCCCTGGTCAAGTGGTCCCTGGTCAAAAAAAGGTTGGTAACCACTGCATTGGAGCAATTTGTCCAGCCCCCCAACAACAAATGGTAGTCAATCTCTTTTCCTATGTGTCACACAGTGTGTCTGATTTATATCACATACTGTATACTATCAAGACTGATAAGCTGCAGCGTAATCTGCGTTCCCACATGGTCAGTAGGATTTGAACAAAAATTAATTTTTCAAAGTTTTGTGCTTTTTATGTACATCATTTTTCCTTTCTATAAGTTTTGAGATAGCTAGTAACCTCCAAATATTGTTGGACTCCCATCACCCCATGTGAGGCCCAGCCAACATGGCTAGTGATTATGAAAGCTGCAGTCTATCAACATTTGGAGTATCATAGATTCTCCAACAGTGTTGTAAGCATTTTAAAACCTTGTGTATGGGATTCAGCCATGACCAAACTTGCTTGGCTTCAGATGGAGCTATATAAGGTACTTACAGATCCTTTTAGGATGCATTCCACTTACCGTGGGCCATGTTTTCATGTTTGTTTTTCTATTGCTTTTTAAGGTACAAATATGACAGCTTCTTTTGACCACTTGGCAAGTGGGTATGATGGCCAGTACTATGGGTACCTATGGAGTGAAGTTTTCTCTCTGGATATTTTTTACAACTGTTTTAAACAGGAAGGCATAATGAATCCAAAGGTAGGTAAATTTGCTCCCGCAGGAGTGTTCTTTTTCAGAATTCTATTCAGAGATAATGATGTACTACAGAGGGTTACTGGAAAGTATGAATTCAAAACCTTTGTGTGTGTGTCAAATTCAGGGTAATTATTTAAACCAGTAGTTGTCACAAACTACCAATGCATGCTAATTGTTGCACTTCAAAAACAAATCTGTAAAACTTCATATAGTTTAATGGAATTTAACCTTGTTCTCACAACGTCCTTGTTACTATGTGAACCAGCAAGTAAATTGCTAGTAGCTAAAGAGTACATGGAGCCCCTGGTGGTGCAGTGGGTTAAACTGCTGAGCTGCTGAATTTGGTGACCGAAAGGTCACTGGTTCAAATCCAGGGAGCGGGGTGAGCTCCTGCTGTTAGCCCCAGCTTCTGCCAACCTAGCAGTTTAAAAGCATGCAAATGTGAGTAGATCAATTGGTACCACTCCAGCGGGAAGGTAACAGCGCTCCATGCAGTCATTCCAGCCACATGACCTTGGAGGTGTCTACAGACAACGCTGGTTCTTCGGCTTAGAAATAGAGATGAGCATCAACCCCCAGAGTCGGACATGACTGGACTTAATGTCAGGAGAAAACCTTTACCTAAACAGTACATGTGTAAGAGTACATGTTTATGATTTGTTTATTTATTTGCCATATTTATATCCTTCCCTTCTTAACCCCAAGGGGGACAAAGAGCAGCCTTCCACATCGGCAACAATTCAATGCCATAAAAACCAAATACAATTTTAAAACATTTATGTTAAAAAACAAATTAAAACGTTAAATCAGTTATCAAAAGTACATAGCCCAAGATCGTATTCCAGAGCCATTCCAATTGTCATTGCACAAATTCTACATTAATTTATTGCATTGCAGTTATTATCCGAAGGCTTGGTCCCCTAGCCATGTTTTTACTTTCTTTCTGAAGGCTAGGAGGGAAGGAGCTGATCGAATATCATTGGAGAGGGAGTTCCACAGCTGAGAGGGCACCACTGAGAAGGCCCTGTCTCTTGTGCCTGCGATAGAGGTGGGACCGAGAGCAGGGCCTCCCTATTAGTCTGTGTAAGAAAGCAACAAGAAATAGTAAAAGAGACACTTGTAGGTAAACAGCAATTGTAGGATTCTAGAAGTGGCAATCCAAACCTAAATGTGAAATATAACCTAAAAGGATCCACATTTGGGGGGGGGGGGGGATAATAGCAAGAATAGATGTTTGTTTCACATCTTTTTTTAAAGGTGCTGTAGAATAAGAAAGGAACAGAATTAAAAATAATATGGAAAAAACAACAGGGCCCAGCTTGAGAGCTTGCAATCTTAAATGAACAGATCACTTAGAAAGAGGAAATGGTAAGGGAAAACATTGGGGGGGGGGGCAAAGAACAAATTAAAATACTTCATTTAATTGGAAAAGACATGTGAGAATAGATAAGGCTGGAGGCGCTTCTTGAAGAGCAGAAGCAACAGAGGCCTCCTAATATCTGGGGGCAGTGAATGAATTCCAGAGATAAGGTGCTGCCAAGGAAAACGGAAGGAGGCATGAGATGTCAGATGTAATTTCTGGTGTGCCTAAAAGTTTGGAACCAGGGGAATGCAGGCTCAGAAGGAGTAGGCAGAGATAAAGCAGGAAGAAGGAAAGCATTGGGAAGTGAGTGTACAGAGGGAAAGGGAAAACTTGCAATGTATATATATGTACAAGAAATGCAGAATGAACTTCAGAGTAAATAACTGATGTTGTGTGCCTTCATGTGGACGCCAACCTATGGCCACCCTATCATGGTTTTCCTGGCCAGATTTGTTCAGAGGAAGTTTCCCAGTGCCTTCTTGTAAGGCTGAGATTGTATGTGGCTTCCTCAAGGTCACCCAGTGAGCTTTCACGGCTGAGGGGGAATTTGGACCCTGATCTCCTAGAGACCTAATCCAACATTTAAACTACTGTAGATAGATAAAAGATAAGCATTTTAGGTAAGATTTTAAAATGGCATAATGTTTTAGCCACCTACTACACACCCAAATTTACTGCCATACAGGTCTTCCCTATTCCGTGGAGACATATCCGCAACTAACATCTCCAAGAATATTCAGTGGAGTCTGAATAGAAACAAATCAATCCCTGTAAAACAGTGTTTCTCAACCTGGGGGTCGGGACTCTTGGAGGGGATCGTGAGGGGGGTGTCAGAGGGGTCACCAAAGAACACCGGAAAACACAGTTTTTTTTGTTGGTCATGGGAGTTCTGTGAGGGAATTTTGGCTCAATTCTATCATTGGTGTGGTTCAGAATGCTCTTTGATTGTAGGTGAACTATAAATCCCAGCAACTACAACTCTCAAATGTCAAGGTCTGTTTTCCCCAAACTCCACCAGTATTCACATTTGGTCATATTGAGTATTCATGCCAAGTTGAGTCCAGATCCATCATTGTTTGAGTCCACATGTAGGTGAACTACAATTCCAAACCTCAAGGTCAATGCCCACCAAACCCCTCCCGTATTTTTTGTTAGTCATGGGAGTTCTGTGTGCCAAGTTTGGGTCAATCCCATCATTGGTGGAGTTCAGAATGCTCTTTGATTGTAGGTTGACTATAAACCCCAGTAACTGGAACTCCCAAATGGCAAAATCAACCCCCCTCCCCAACCCCACCACTATTCAAAATTGGGCGTATTGGGTATTTTTGCCAAATTTGGTCCAGTGAATATGAATACATCCTACATATCAGATATTTACATGATGATCCATAACAGTAACAAAATTGCAGTTATGAAGCAGCAATTAAAATTATTTTATGGTTGGGGTCCACCACAACATGAGAATCTGTATTAAGGGGTCGCGGCATTAGGAAGGTTGAGAACCACTGCTGTAGAAAGCAAGGCGTAATCAGTCCCTGCCATGGAAACACTTTGCATTGTGGATGAGATACAGTAATTGTATGCAAATCCCAATAAGAGCTAGAAGAGCAAAAGAACACCTTTTATAGAGGCCATCATGGACACGGTCATAGACACAAGTGTTATGAATGGGAAAAACAATGAATATGAACAAGGCATGGCATTCTCCCAGTTCTGTCAATGTGATTGTCTGCAGTAAAGATTCCCAAACTGGTCTTCCAGGTGTTTTGGACTTCAACTCCCAGAAGCCTCAGCTGCCTTGGCCACTGATGGGGGATTCTGGGGGCTGAAGTCCAAAACACCCAGAAGACTAGAGTTTGGGAAACACTGGTCTGCAGTGAGTTGTAGAAGTCTGGATAAAAGCTACTACTTCCAACAGACTGCCTGTCATGTCAGGGACAGAATCAGTAGGAGCCACATTGGGGAAGTAGGGGGAAGATAGGAAAACATAATTGGAAAACCTACAAAATGAAAGCAGTCCCATCTGGAATTCATACATTTTGTTAACTAGACCAGTGTAATTGTAGACTAAAAGCTCATCTGATACAACACAAAGCATTAGTCTTACAAGTGCAGAACAGAAGAAATACAGAAATATGTTTTTGATAATATATTTCTTGAAGATGTTGTTTGTACTTTACTAAGCTAATGATGCATTAGTACTATTATGGGTTTTTATGATGATTTCTTCGATTTTCCTGCTTCTTGGCAGGGGGTTGGACTGGATGGCCCACAAGGTCTCTTCCAACTCTATGATTCTATGAAAAGACATATGTGATGTTACTTATGGGGAGTCCAGGAAACATTGGGCTCCTCTGATCACTTCTTTGGTGACTTCTAATTTGGGTTTGGTTTATTGATATCTAATGAGGCTTGAAGGTTCATGGCTGTCAGTAATGTGAAATTATATTGGGAGACGGGGTGAAAGAACAGCTTTCGGCAAAACAAATACAATTGTGTCAGCTCCATTTCAAGACAATGTGTTATTTCCATACCGGGCAGGTTTCCTGTGGTTTTGTTGTTGATTTAGAAAGTTCAAATAAACATGAAATATTAACCTACCCATTTTATTTTATTTTAGGCTGGAATGAAATACAGAAATCTTATCCTGAAGCCTGGAGGTTCACTAGATGGGATGGATATGCTCCAAAACTTTTTAGGTCGCAAGCCAAACCAAAAAGCTTTTTTATTGAGTAAAGGGCTATGTACTTAATAAAAACTATGGGTTCTTTGTGATCAAATGTCATCTGGGGAATTGGTCTTGGAATGCCTGTTGAATTTCATGTCTGGATAAGTAAAGCACATTAATGTTCACCAGGAAAAAAAATAATCTGCTTTTCTAATCTTTTTATTACTGTTTTTCAAAATCCATAATGATCAGTGTCACCTTGAAATCCACACTAAATCACTGTACTGTAAGCTTTTTCTTTTTACTAGTAAATTATTTGTGGATTGTGGTGAAGTCATAAAAGAAGAAATGTTGTAATTTTCGAAATTAAGTCAATGTGTTGAATAAATGTAACATGACATTGAAGATTTTGTGGAGTTTTTAGTTTTGAGTATCGAAATAATCCTGTCTACCAAATACCTTGGAAATGATACATCTAAATCCCCTTGAGACACATTTCGATCCTTGACGTGCAAACCTTTTGCTTCAAATGAAAGCACAGCATTTACAGAACAATACACAGCAGGGCCAAATTCAGTTAGAAAATCCACCCACTTTCCATTTTCCTTCTCTTGGGTCTTCATAAAGTACTGAGTCTGTGGATATAAATCTTGGAGGGAAATCTTTCTAATCTTGGAGCCAATATGCTGCCAAAAGCCCCATCCCCAAAGCCTCAGATTTGATGTCTACCTTCTTTCCCTTTGCTGTCACAATGTAAAGCAATCCCTCATGTGCTGTGGATATGTTCTAGAGAGGAACATGCAAAGATGCCTTATACCATTGGTCCATGTGGGTATGTATTTGCAAATCTGGGTGCATTTTGACTGTAGAATTAATGCACTTTGATGGCCCTTTTACTGCAATGACTCAATGCTAGGGAATCATGTCCTTCTCAAGGAGTGCTGATGCCTCACCAAACTATAACTCCCAGGATTCAGTAGCAATGAGCCGTGACAGTTAAAGTGGTGTCAAACTGCCCAACTTACCTATCCGAATATGTCTCCCCTTACAAATCTTCCAGGAATTTAAGATCATCTGGGGAGGCCCTGCTCTTGATCCCGCCTGCCTCATAGGCGCGCTTGGTGGGGATGAGGGACAGGGCCCTCTCAGTGGTGGCCCCTTGGCTATGAAACTCCCTTCCTGGAGATATTAGATCGGCCGCCTTCCTCCTGAACTTTAGGAAAAGAGTAAAAACTTGGTTCTTCGAACAAGCTTTTGGAACCTCATTGTAAGCAGATAAACTCAGTATTGTGAACTAATATGGAATGGCTTAACAATACAAATGGACATGGATTTAAACCAGGAAGTGATTGATTTTTATAGTTTTAAATTGTTTTTATATGAATTTTATTATGTCATTTAACCTATATTTATGTGTGTTCGGCATCTAATTGTTGCCAGTCTGTACACTGCCCTGATTCGCCTTTTGGCTGAAAAGGGCAGGATAAAAGTGTGGTAAATAAATAAATAAATTCTCCTGCCTAAAAGCACCTTCTGACTGGTAGTGGTGATCCATAGTTTATGGGGTTGTTCTTTCTTATCTGGCAATCCCCAATATTCCCTGCTGGTCTCCCATCCAGCTATTCACCACATCCAGTGCTATTTAACATGCAAGATACAATGAGACCAAGTATGTTCTGTGTTTCTGGACCAGTATAATTCTCAGTTTCCAAGAGCTGGCTTTAGCCAGATATAGCCGAAGGCTTTAGTCCAGTGGTTCTCAACCTGTGGGTCCCCAGGTATCTTGACCCACAACTCCAGAAATCCCAGCCAGTTTACCAGCTGTTAGGATTTCTGGGAGTTGAAGGCCAAAATATTTGGGGACCCACAGGTTGAGAACCACTATCATATAAGGAGTTGGTTTAACTTCTGGTTTGCTAATAAAACTGAATTACTGTGTTGTGAAATCATGCATGTCTAAAGAAGTGTGTCACCAACATGAAAGTTAGAAAGTTCTGTTCTACAGCTGAAATTTTATTTTCTGCTGCCCTGGAGAGTAGGACTCAGAGGAATGGGTTCACATTAGAGAAGAGGAGATTCCACCTGAACATTAGGAAGAACTTCCTGACTGTACGAGCTGTATGAGCTGTGGAACTCTCTGCCTCTGAATGTGATGGAGGTGTCTCCTTTGGAAGCTGATGGCCCTCTGTCAGGGCTGCTTTGAATGTGCTTTTCCTGCATGGCAGGGGGTTGGACTGGATGGCCATGTAGCCTCTACCAATTCTATGATTCTAATCTGCAACATACAACTTTCCCCAGAGCCTAATTTCCAGCTCATTTGTACTGTTACTAATCCAAACTGGAGCATTGTCTGTGATCACTGTTTCTGTAATGGTGGCAGGGAAGCACCTGTCCATTCAAGTACTCAGAAAAGCTACTACAGTAGAGTCTCACTTATCCAACATAAACGGGCCGGCTGAACGTTGGATAAGCAAAAATGTTGGATAATAAGGAGGGATTAAGGAAAAACCTGCCAAACGTCAAATTACATTATGATTTTACAAATTAAGCACTGAAATATCATGTTTTTCTACAAATCCACAGAAAAAGCAGTTCAATACTTGATAACGTTATGTAGTAATTACTGTATTTACGAATCTAGCACCAAAACATCACAATGTACTGAAACAGCTGTGGATCTGGGCGGGAGGCAGACTGCATTGGATAATACAGAATGTTGGATGAGCGAAAGTTGGATAAGCGAGACTATTTTAGTCCAAAACCGTCATGTGGAATAACCCATCATTGGAATGGGTGTGAAGTTAAGATTCTCTCTCCCTCAACTTCTTTGAAGCTATGTGTAGCCAGCCAACACTATCTGCGGGACAAAACAGTTGTGTTCCACTTCTCTGTGTAATGTGGAATTGTTGGACAATCTATGGCACACCAACAAGAGATCATTTTCCTGTATTGTCGAAGGCTTTCATAGCCAGAATCACTAGGTTGTTGTAGGTTTTTTCGGGCTATATGGCCATGTTCTAGAGGCATTCTCTCCTGAAATTTTGCCTGCATCTATGGCAAGCATCCTCAGAGGTAGTGAGGATGCTTGCCATAGATGCAGGTGAAACATCAGAAGAGAATGCCTCTAGAACATGGCCATATAGCCTGAAAAAAACCTACAACAACCCGATCATTTTCCTTTTTAATTCTACTAGCAAGGATCTTCCACAGGAGGGAGACCTTTCTCTAGATAGAAAGGCTTGAGCAGAGCCGGCTACTTGGTTACTTGGGATGGAGATCAGCCGGGGAAAAAGGCTTACATAAAATTGATGAGACTGTTAATTGGAAGAAATTATCTTTTTTTTTTTGGGAAAAAAAAACAACCCAGGCTATTCAGAATTCTCTGAGGATGGAAAGCTTGCAATGCTAGTGAATCTAAAGTAAGTAACAAACTATCATTAATATCCTTTCAGCTGTGATCTGGAGACCATTCACACTGGCGTAAGTTCCACTAAAATCAATGCGACTTTGATTTTAAATACACTTACTTGGTAGTGAGTAGGCATATCTATTACTTAGAAGGTTTATGCACATTTCTATTATTCCCCAAAGGGATTAATTTAAGTGTTACTGAATAGCTTCATTGTAAGTGAAATGCTTTGGATAGGACCTACCATATTGGATCAGCTGCATGGTTTATCTGCCTTATTATCATCTTCAATTGCTATTTAATCCCTTACTGACAGAGAAACTGCTAGAGCTTTTCTCTTATTCTTTTTCCTTAAATTGGCAATCTTTAAAGCTAGCCATGCTAGTCACTTACAAAAAAAATCCAAAACAGCAGATGTGAAGTGTCTCATTAGGATCAAGGTTTTAAAAATCCTTTTCTTTCCCTGTTTTTATCTCTTTCCAAGCAAATATGTTGCTTTTAAATGAAGATATAACCTGGGGAGGAGCCCAGGTGGTGCAGTGGGTTAAACCACTGAGCTGCTGAACTTGCTGACTAAAAGGTTGCAGGTTCGAATCCAGGAAGTGGCGTGAGCTCCTGTTGTTAGCCCCAGCTTCTGTCAACCTAGCAGTTTGAAAACATGCAAATGTGAGTAGAATAATAGGTACCACTCCGGCAGGAAAGTAACAGCACTCCATGCAGTCATGTCGGCCACATGACCTTGGAGGTGTCTATGGACAATGCCAGCTCTTCGGCTTAGAAATGGAGATGAGCACCAACCCCCAGAGTCAGACATGACTGGACTTAATGTCAGGGGAAAACCTTTACTATAACCTGAGGAAGGGTCCTCAACTTCTACACGAGCTTCTAAGAAACTTTGATACTCATATATTTTTGCACTGTTTTCAGGTTATTCCTATCATGTCTCTGTTCAAAGATGGGGGCATTCACTCACTTTAATTGTGTTCATAACCCACCTGTCATAAAAATCATAGGCCAGGAGTAACAGCAGTAACAGCAGTAATAAAACATATGGTAAATGAAGATCTAGTAAGACTACGTAGTGAAACTGATTGCGATGGCAATGTGATACTATATATGCCCAGGTAATCAGATGGGCCTTACCTTGAGCCAAAGAGTAAATAAAGGTGGTGCCAGACATATCTCCTGGTGGGTGGCCTTCGAAATCAAAGTGCCACCCAAGGAAGGTCTTATCTTGACTAACCAATAGGGAGTCTTCTCCTAATTATGGAATGAGTCAAACATCCTATCATGAATGGAAAGGCTGGCACAGGGAAAGGCATTCTTTCAGATACACGATTTCCTTGTCAACACCAGCAAGAGGAATTGTGCACCAAAATACATTGTCAACCAATGCTGCCCTTTCAAAAAGCTATACATCACCTGACAGCTGTCTGTCAACATCCTGGCAGCTATTATTTTATACCAGCTGTATATTTAGATCACACAATTGGAAGAGACCCCAAGGGTCATCTAGACAAACCCCATGCAGAAACAACAAAGCACTCTTGATAAATGGCCAACCTGTTTAAAGAGAAGAAAATTCTACCAGAGATGGAGATTCCTGGAATCATAGAATAGGATCATAGAGTTGGAAAAGACCTCCTGGGCCATCCAGTCCAACCCCCTGCCCAGAAGTAGGAAAATCACATTCAAAGCACCCCTGACAGATGACCATTAAGCCTGTTTAGCAGCCTCTAAAGGAGCCTCCACCACACTCCGGGGCAGAGAGTTCCACTGCTGAACAGCTTTCACAGTTAGAAAGTTCTTCCTAATGTTCGGTTGGAATGTCCTTTCCTGTAGTTTGAAACCATTGTTCCACATTCTAGTCTCCAGGGCAGCAGAAAACAAGCTACCTCCTCTCTATGACTTCCCCTCACATACAGTATTTATACATGGCCATCATGTCTCCTCTCAACCTTCTCTTCTGCAGGCTAAGCATGCCCAGCTTTTTCAG